CCGGGCAGTGTGCAAGGGCAGGTTGGACACAGGGGCTTGGAGCAACCTGCTCTAGTGGAAGGTGTCCCTGCCCGTGGCAGGAGTTGGAACTGGAGGAGCTTTAAGCTCCTTTCCTACACAAACCACCCTTTGATTCTGTGATTTCTGCTGCTGGTTGATGCTCACGAACACGAGCACAGAGAATTTACCTTGCACTGATAGAACTCCAGATGCAGGTTCCTCAGCATAGCACCCAGCTGCACCCTCTGGAAGACACAAGTTGCTTTGTAAAGGCAGAAATTAACAGAAAACAAGGCTGTTGGCATGTGAAGTCATGCAGCCACACCAAAGCCAGGCCTGTGGTATATTAAGCACTGAGAAACCCCATGGTGTTTAGATGAGGACATTACCCAGCCCCAGCCCCAGCCTCCATGGGCTGCTCCAGGCAACAAACATAGACAGCAAAACATTCAAGTTAATGGAAACGAGTCTTTATTAAGTAACTTTTAATATCAGAAAAATAAAACTCTTATAATTCTCTTTACAGCAAATATATAATATCAGTGCTTTGGCCATCATAAGTTAAAGGCCCTTTATCATAAAATATATGGTTTTTAAACTTTACTCAAATTGAATAACCCCTATGACCTCCCTACATATACATAACAAAAAGTGTAGTAAAATTAGCAAATACTAAACTATATTGATAGTTTATCATTCTTAAGTTTGTGGTTTATAGAAACAGTACACCCAGCTAACATCTGTCAACTCCTTGGCTTATTAGTTGCGGTGTACGATGCAGTATAATACAAAATACATGCCCCGTGAACGCTTGTTTGCATCTACAAGACTGCAGCTACAGATTAGGATTCAATACTGACATGTAACTATCCTACAAGCAATCATAGCATTGAAGTTATGCAGTACATAATGTGCCATCAAGGCAACTCTTATACCGAAAATCATGAAATAAAAACCGTTATTTGTAAACTCTTTATACGAAATGTAACTCCTCAAGTGGAAATAAAAAATAAATTTTTCTGTATATTTACTAGTTCAGTACACATATAATTTCATTTTCTTAAGCTGAGAAAAAAGCTTCGTCTTGGGAAAATAATGCTTCAAAAAGAAAATGTTAGAAAAAAATCCACCAGAACTCCACTTTGTGTCTTTTTTTTGTTTTTGGTTTTGTTTTTTGTTTTTTAATTGTTTTTATTGTTTTAAATATGCCAGCACAGATTTGGGAACCTACTGAGGATGAAGCAGCTACAAACATCCACAGGTTGAAATGTAAGAAGCGCATAAAAACCTTTTTTTTAGTTTTTTTTTTTAGCTTTTTTTTTTTGTTTTTTTTAGTTTTTTTTGTTTTTTAAGTGATTGGAAAGACAGTTTTGAAATGAAGTAAACTGATTGCAGGGCCACTGTCACAGCTGCTGTCATGAGCAATACACGGGCACGTGCGCAACTCCCCCTTTCTCCTTTACCTTACTAAAAATAAAATATATTATTTATATATGTGCAAGACAAGTATGGATTGAACACAAAAAATGCTTCACATTTTCAACTATACACTCACTACAAATGTAATTTAAGGACAGCTTGATCGGACTAATGAACGGAATGTCAGCATCCCCACTATAAGTTGAACTATGGGCATCCCTCACTGAAACGGGATGAAGCTGGCCAGACTTTTCTACATTGCATTAAGTGGGTAGGAATTCATAAATCTGGACGTTCCTGATCCTCTGAACATACTGCCCCTAACGCGTCGGCCAAAACGGAGGTGCGCCAGGCAGCTTCTCTCCCCTCCCTCGCTGCAAGTCATTATCTGAACCTGCCACTGACATCACCCAGATCAAACCAAACCATGCTTTAATTGCAATGCTGAAGAATCAGGCCTAAGTTATGCACGAAGCAAAAAATAAAATGTATATATTTCCCCAAACCTGTTTTTCACAACTGGCAGTGTAAAGAAGGCAGCATTGGAAGTGTTGATATATTGATAATGCCACAAACTCTCCACGGCAGACGAGCACTTCTGAGTTCCGGCGATGAGGTTCACTGCTGCCAGCACACGCAAGTCAAATGTTTAACAACAATCCTTTAGAAAGCTCATAAAACATGTTTCTTTTCCGTTGTGCAACTGATGAACACTTCCCCTTGATGTGCTATATTGCCACACCAGCTTGCTCTATGCTCTGTGTGCCACCTGCTTACAGTGAACCGGACAGAGACCACCTACGTTTAGTGTTACCGTAGCAGCCTTTTGAGAAAGCAGAAATTCATTTAACAACTTCAGCCTAACCCCAAGAAAGCCCAATAGTCAGAATTCATAAGAAGTTTACTAGAGGGTACCATTACACCCATGCCTTTAACAGTCCATATATAATAATATCTATATATGTTTAAGAGTGAATTTGGATTGCCTGAGTAACAGCTGTCTGGCAAACGGGACACGATGGCATCTCCTTTTCACAGATTCTGTTTGCACACTCCATGCAGAAGAGATTGTGGCCGCAGGGCACCAGGGCCGCAATGACTTCGCTCTCGAAGCAGATCACGCAGTCGTGCTTCTGTCTTGACTCGGGGGGCGAGCTGGACGTGGAGCCACCGTTGGAAGAGGAATAGCTGTTGGTACCATTGGAGAAAGCAGGGATGTATACGGGAAGGCCAGCTTGGTGGATGACGGTAGGTGGGTCGCTCGTCACTCTCCTCACCAGCGAGTGATCCAGACTTTCTGGAAACGTGGGTGACAAGTGAGGAGTAGATGGCTGGCTGGCTCGGCGACGAGGCTTGGCGTTACTTGCAGCATCGTTACCAAAGCCAGAGAGAGGGTTTACCGGTTCAAAAGGAGTCCAGATGGTTTGGCAAGGTGTTGGTAAGGAGTCATACGCAGCAGAGTCGACCGCAAGATCTTCTGTGCCAACTGAAGGCAGCGCTTCTCCAAACCAGAAGTTACCTGTGCTGAAGGGACTTGTTGGGCTGAAGTCAGCCAATCTATTGCTTCCAAAATAGGAATCTGTGGAGCCACTTCCCAAGGAGCTGGAGCTGTCATTTCTGTAATTGGAAATCATTCTGGTGCGGCTATGAGGGACGGGGTTAGAAGGGATCCACGCCGAGCCCAGGGTGCCTCCTTCGAAGCTCACGTCTGTACCGTTGTAGTGGAAGTCGTTCTCCTCGCTCAGCTCGATGTAGTTCCCGGTGCGCATTGCTATGTGCATCTCGATCTCCTCGCGCGCCCGGTCGACGTTTTCGGGCATCCCCGTGACTTCAAAGACAGGCTCCTTGTCTCTGCTGGGAGTGACTATGTAGGTGTGGGTCTGCTGCTGAATTCTTTTGATTGTAGCTCCTTTCGGACCAACCACCAGCCCAACTACGCGGTAAGGCACCCTGACTTGGACCGTTGTCTGACCTGGCAGGCTGGGGGTACATGGCAAACCTGCCAGGACAGGACCGTTCTTGTTGCGTGATGCTCTGATCATGGAGAAGTGTTCGGCAGCTGAGAGAATTTCCCTTTTGGCCATGGCTACGTCCTCTTTTCGTCCAGTGACAACAAAGATGGGTTCTTCTCCACGAACAGGGGTCTTAATGTAAGTATTTGTCTTGGCCCTTAGTGCTTTTATTTTGCAACCTGTTTAAAGGGAACACATGCAAGTTTAGCAAGACAGCTAAGTTTAGAAAGCCACAAGAAAGTTGTCTATTTTAAGCTGTTTGAGAGTTCCAAGAAACCATAGGGTGAAACCAAAAGCAGCTGTTTTTATCTCTGCAATCCACAGCAGAGAAAGCAGCAACAACTTCCACCTATTATTTTCAAGCAGAACTCTGATACTTACAGACACAGACTATTTTAGCAATGTTTCTTGGGCTGATTTGGCCCATCACCTCCTCAACAGCTATTAGATGGTGAATAAACATGGATGTCTTCTTCCTCTCTAACAGCCATATTCATGATTATCCCATAAATACTGGTGGGTTTCTCCATTGACTGGGTATCCTGCAGTTATTTCTGACATCCTGCAAAAAGAGTAAAGGCTCTCACACAGACGCACGTAAGTCTGGTGATACGCCAGCCTTCCACTGACAAGCATGACCTAAAAGCAAATTAAGCCTTTATAAAGGAGAGAAGGGTCTATGTTACAACCTGTGCAGGATATAGATAAAACTGATTTGCTGAGAACTCTTCATTTGCCTCCTGTTATCAATAAGTGTTATTTAAACACTACTCTCCCCTGTGGGGTGAAGGAGCCACTCCCTAGACTGCCAAATAGGAGCTCAAGCAGTCTGCATGCAAATAAGGCTTACTGTGCAATATTATGTGCCTACATGGAATATCTCTTGTTAACTGGGTAAATACAACCCGAAAGAGAAACAAAAAGTTAATGGAACATTTGTCTTTGATTTCTGGGGACTGAATTATAAAGTTTACTAGAACACAGTGGCAGCAGGCTCCTTCTCAAGATGCTCAAGGCGTTTTGGCACGGTGCCTACAGAAGCACCTCTTACCCATCACAGGACCAGAAAAACCTGCAGTGCGAAATTAAGAGACACAAGCAGGCCCACGACATGCAAGACAGTCTGTGGCATTCAGTCTTAACTGAATTTAGCCTGTATTAAAACAAATTCAGAAGCATGTCATGCTAAATGTCATTTTATAGCAAACCTCATCTTGAAACAACTATAAGCAACATTTGCAGATCAAGTGTTTTAAGCATCATTTCACTTGCAGAGTGGAATTTGTTCCCATTTTACTCATTTACTTTAAGTATCTCCTAACTGTCTGGGTACATGAAACAGGCTCTCGAAACAGTGTTTTGTCTGTCTCTTGCACCCAAGGTACCACTAGTAATAACAATTTTACAGTTAAAAAGCCACTCACAGATGCACTTCATTCAGGACTATCTACTAATAAAAAAACCAGCAAATATGCAGATGCTGGTTGGAATAGAGGGAAGGAAGACCTGCTTCTTTCAGGGCCCCTGCACACAGCAAGGACAAAGGCTGAACACAACAGCCCTTTGTTTCCAGGACACAGCTGGAGAGGAAGTTCATTATCTTCAACAGCTTGTACGGAGGCCCTACCTCCACCAGAAAGCACAGGGAGGAGCAGGGGAGTGTTCCTGCAAGGGAAGGAGTGAGGCACAAGCGGATCTGCACAAAGGAGGGATGCAGACCCGAGAGCTGAACAAGTAGTTCAACAAGAGGCACAAGCACCTGCAGGAGAAAACAAATCCATAAACCTCAACCTCCCACTACAGCCCACTGGAAAGGCAATGGCGCTCCAACAGATAAAAGAAAGGAAAACACAGGCACAAGATGCCTTATGGAAGCAGCAAAACACACACCCTTTGAAGCCATGCCATTTCCCTGCTCGTAACGGACAACAGCACCTTGCTCTGGCACTTTGCCTTTACTCTCTCCATCTCTTTGTTTGCATTTCTCCCTGTATGTAAATCTGCTCTCCCACTCTGCTTCCCATCCCTTCATAGTTACTCAGAAAATGTGGTGGGTTTAAACCTTAAACCCACAAGGGTCCCCAAAATGGTGCTGCTGAAGTTTTCACTTTCACCAATCTACCTGTCTTTACTGGAACACCTAAAAGCAAAGTCAGACTCCCAATGCACATCGATTATTCTCTGATAACTCTAATTTACTCCATTCCACCCACGTATATACCCTTACTTCCTAAAAGATTAGAGGCAGCATTTAAAGAATACTTAGCACAAGGTATACACATATATAAATAGCCACACTGATATTTATTATATACCACACTTCAGAGCCTACTTACTTCTAGATTACAAAGTGCCTCACCAATCCTTACAGTTTACATTTTAGACAACATTTTCCTGATGTTTTAGAAACTCAAATCAAGCCAGAAGTCTGCACCATTAGCTCCATGCCCCACTTGAGCTGCAAACTCCCAGAGATTGTTTTCCCAGACCTGCATTTCCAAACTACTCCTGTGTGAAGAAAAGCCTTCCTGCCTTTCTTCCTCAGGCTGCAGAAGGGCACAGACCAAGATGGGCACCCTTTTCTTTTAGGGTGTGAGCCACATACCTAGAAAGCAGAGGTCAAATGCTGCCTCAGCTCCCTGCAGCAACAGAACATGACTTTTAAACAGTGGAAAGCTGTCTCCAATGGAACACTGACCATTAAGGCCAACTCTCAAGCTCTATCTGAAAGTTCGAAGGAACTCAAGAAAGTCACCACATACAAACCCCAACATTTCCGAATGAGTCAGTCAATACCTGCCGGGTTCGGTCAGCCAGGAGTGCTGGGAAACCCCACAAGAAACAGCCATGTCAGGGCACAAGGTCAGTTGCCCGTAAGAGCACTCCAGCAGGATGACCTTTCTATTTGCCTTTACTCAGCTGCTCTGGTTGCCCATCCTCCCCCACTACTCACTACTGAGACGATGATACGAAGCACGGATGATCCCATCCCCAGTCTGACAGCTCCCAGCATCCACAGGCACTGAGGCCACAACGGCATGAGGCTGTTTCAGCTATGAACTCATGGGGCTGAAGGACGTATCACGAAGTTTTCCCAGTCTCCTGAGCTCAGTCAAAAATGGAAAAAAAAAAAAAAAAAAGGAAGACAAAGGAAAAAAAAATACGCAGCCCCACACTTGTGCAATGTATCATCAGGTTATTGTAGCAAGATTTTGAAGTAGAGATAAAAAAGCCCGAAGAGAGGACTGGAAGTTCAATTTAATCAAACCTTTCAAAGCAATTTTAGCTTTGGTATGTTAATGGAAGTCTATTCAATACAAGTTACCGTACTTGATTCAGCAGTGTAAGCATTCCTAGGCAGCACATTCATCCGTAAGTACACACTGACATAGTTAAAGCAAAATCCTTTAGTTTTGCTTGCATTTAGGCAAAGATTCAGTACTGGCCTGCCCAGGCACCTGAGGAGGAGCTGAGCTGTACTGAGCCCTGAAGGCAGCGTTCATCCCGTGCTGGCTGATTTGTACCATTCTTCTCAAGCCTCCTCCCCATTTTTCCTGTAAGAGGATTATTTGACCGAACATTTTAAACGTACTAGCACATCATACTCCCCAAGAGACTTAAAGGTAGCTCTGAATTAATTGTTTACCTCGCACTCTAAAGAAAATGCAATAGGAAGACAGATTATTTCCTCCCTCCCCGCTTGAAGTGAGAGTTAAGCACATCAGCCACAGCACATCCAGTCCTCACCCACCACACAGCGATGGCCAGCTCAGGCTTCGCTCCGATGTTCACCTTTCATCACCACAAACAGGATGAGATACATCAAACTCAGTCTCAGCCACTTACTCCACGAGAGAAACTGCCCAAGGGAGCCGTCGGAGCCTGGTGACCGCAGCAGGAGTGCTGTGCATGCCTGCCTCACACCATGCCAGCAGCCTGCTGCCCTGAGCCAAGAACCATGCAACATGCAGCCCATGAACTCCTCCTCTGCCATCCACAGCAGCAGCCCAGGAGAAACAGAACCTCCTCCCCCTGCCAGTCCTTTCTTTCTTTCTTCTGCTAAATTCACCTGAGGGCCACACACTGGGAATGGGACAAGGACTGATTTAGAGATGAGGATCCCTTCATTGTGTGGTCTCTTCCAGACAACTACACCAGGTGAAGGGAGTCCTTCATGCTTCTCAGTATCCACACCAGCAAAATGCAGCCTCTCAAAGTCAGAGAGGCCCCCCTCATACCCACATTTCTCCTGCAGCTCTTGCCAAGTGCTGTGAAACTGGGGTTCAGGCATGCATGGGAACCCAAATGCTCTTAACCTTCATGTCTGTTTAACCTTGCCTCCCCAGTTACATAGGCCTTTGGAAATAAAACCCTGGGGAAAAAGGAAAGTTTATCTAAACGGATGCCTCGAAGTCATGGTGGGTAAAAATTCAGTGAGCAGCCCCTGTGAATCACAATCAGTTTGTTTTCCTTGCTTGCTCCTGATGAGTCCTTAGTTAAAGGAATCAAAACTGAAAACCTCCTGCAAGACACCCAGATCCTGTGGGAAGACACCAGTACTGCCTGGGTTGTAAAAGGAGCAAGCAGGGTGAAGCTGCATTAGCACCGTCACCTCTCATGCAGAAGGCAGGGCTGATGAGCAGTCCCAACCAAACCTGGCATCCTCCAGCACAGCCCAGAGCAACCGTGGGCAAAGCAGAGATGTCACAGATTGGCCTCTGCAGCTTGTCAGCACTAAAGAGAAAGGTGTAGTTCACAGGAATGTATTTTTCAGTAGCTTTGCTGTTATCTGATGAAAGACAATAGAGTATTACAGCCTCCACTCTGTCTTTAGCACACTGACCACTGATTTTGTAATATACTGATACCAAGTAAGTAGGCAGCAATAGAATAATTAGTGACATCAACCTGGAACCATGAGCTGCTAGTGGAGCTGTGGCTAATTCCTTGCCTAGAAAGCAAGGGCAGGGTCTGGGAAGTCCCTGCAGACATGTAGGGAATGGCACAGGATCACTGGTCATGACAAGGAAAGAGGGGACTGCACAGGGATTTGTTTGCTATGAACCTGCAGCTGTTGTGTATGGACACAGTCTGTTAAGCTGGCACAGCCTCCTTCCTTGCTAGGTTGCCACAAGCTTTTAATTGGGAAGTTGAACTCCTGCAGCGAAGGTAACGAAGG